CGCGACAGTACGTATTAAGTTCAAACCTAAATTTCCAAATTGTTACGGCTCATCCAGGAGTCTTTTAGTACTTTCCATATCTTGGAATCACCACAACAATTTTTGATTTATATTTGCTTGTTTTGGATATTTTCCTTTCAACGCAATTTTTTAAGGGTAATCGACTAGCGATAAATTATATTAATCTGGAGCTGAACTAGGTAGTAAAACCGATTATGTAATGATTTGACGGATTACTCCCTTTTATTTCTAAAACTGTCCGTTTTAAGAATGAGGCTTTATACTCTTCTCTTCGGACAATATGTGTAATACAATGGATGTCTTGTAGTTTGCTGATTGATTACTGTGTCGATGATGAAAGCAAACAGACAAATCTCGACCTTTCTGTAGTAAACTTCAGCAGTGGCAATAATTAGGACAAATTGCTACCGATCAGCGATTCTGCAAGAGATGGAAGAATAGAGAGTTGGAATGTGGATGCCTATATATACAATGATGTGAAGTCAGAACAATTAACTGTATTCATATGTACGTAAATCCTAGGGAAATGCCTACATACCCATGAATCTGCAGTCATTTTTTACATCATTGGAAAGGGATCATACAGACAAAGTTGATCCTTAATGGATCCGGAGGAACTGCTAGTGTTAATGAATAAAAGGAAAGGGTATATTTTCATCATCGAAAACATCAGGGTAGATATATCAATTTCAGCATTGTGTTTTTTTTCAGCTTATAATTATGCTTGAACATATTGCAAGCAAACACGTTATTACCGGAAGTTGGTTTTATTATTTAAAACGGATTCTTTTTTTTCGTTTGTTCTCAAAGACCGAAGAAAGTTCCTTTTTTACAAATAGCAGCCTGAAAGACAACTTCCCACTAGAACTTCTGCGAAGCCATTATTAGTGGCTAATAATGATTTCATTCATGCAGGGGTAAACCTCTGTGGTCGAATTTACGGCAATTTCAGCTTTAACTTGACAAAAAAAAATTGTGGTTTCGAGTTGTAAATCATTATTTTTGTCTGCTGGAAATAAGTTTGCTACCTCTGTGCTTTAGAATTCAACGAACTTTTTTCAGAAGCCCTTTTTGCGTCCTGCTGATTACAAAAACATTTTTTTTGCAAAAAATTGTTGGCATGTTTGAAGAAATGACAGGCAATAGCAAAAAAAAGCAAATGAATACAGCGATCAGATAAACCTTCGTAAACCAGTTCTAAATTTTGAAGCGTTGGTTATACAACGTGTAGTCGGATGTTATCGTGGAGAATTGCGTTTCTTCCATTGGTTAGCTAGAGCTAGCTGTGAAAGCTTCAGGATATTTCATCTATTCCAGAGCATACTTCTCGGATGAAATAGTTTGGCGGGATTCAGAAGATTGTAGGAACAGCAGATCACCAAGAATGAACATGACTTTTTTAATTCCAATTTGGCCTCCAAAAAGAGAACCAACGTTTTTGACTGTAGATTTTGATCTTGTTTGTCGAACCAGTAAGCTAATCTTTATCTTCCTTCGATACGCGGTAACATCATTTAACATCTATGGTGGAAATGTTCACTATTTTGTCGTCATCCGTATTTGGCTGATGACATCTTGTACTGTTCGCTTACTAGTGTACTTATTAGTTAGTGAATTCGTCTGCCTTTTGTCCAAATGATCATTTTCTTTTTGCAAAAACTCCTTGATTATTCAGATTCTGAGTCGATGAATCGTAAGCCATAATTTACAAGCTGAAAGTACGTCACAGATCGAATGGAAGGACGGTTAATGACAAAATCTTCTGTGATTTAGAGAAATGATGCATTACATATGAAGGTAACTGTAACTTATTTCTTCATATTTCATATTAAGTACACATAAGGCGTATGTGAAACTATGGATATCCCACGTTTCGAATATGAATCCATAGTGAAGTGTTATATATATAATAAGAATGCTTCTTTTTAAGTCAAAAAACGTGGGCTTTCTTTCTGCTACGTCTTAATGCTGATTATTGTACTTTCTGGAAGAACCATTCCTCCGTACCCATTGACTTTCCCACCTTTTCCTGTCCTTCCCGCCACACAGATATCAAATCGCTTGACGCGTCGCTAATTACTAATTGCAATACTTTCGCACAGTCCTTCTTGCGCTATTATTGCTAACGACGAAACCTATTTCCATGTTCAGGCATATGCATGTGCTCAGACGTCTATTTGCATATACCTGTGTATGTATACGTATATACATAGGACACGTATGTATGCATATTTGTTTGCGCGTGTGTTTATGTATGTATGTATGTATGTATGTATGTATGTATGTATGTATGTATGTATGTATGTATGTATGTATGTATGTATGTGTGTATGTATGTATGTATATATGTATATATGTATGTATGTATGTATATGTTTATATGTATGAGCATATGGACGTGTCACTGTCTATGGCTTCCTTATGACACGAAGTGCGTCTGAATGGCTTGTGTGTGGATAGCGAGCGACACGCACTGTTGAGAGCAGAATGGGAACAGAGTAAATCGATCGGTGCGAGGGGTTCTGCTCAGAGGTGGCTGGGCGACACATCATCCTCTTTATTAATCCGTGCGGCGTTTCACAAGTTTCCAAAACATTTTGGGAAAGTCCAAAGTTGTCGTTCTTGGTGAGTTGCAGGAGAAACTAGTCTCAGGATACGTATCTTTAAATATCCCAATCAATAAAGACGAATGTTGTTCTTTTCGGCTATCTTTCATGTTACTTTGATGTGTATGTCAACCACATAAATCATTTGAAGATTATATGTCCCAAGTTTGCATGCTTGCACAATATGCATATTGTTGGCACAATGACTTTTTGATAATCCTAAATTATCGCTGGAATCGTCGTTCTGAAGTTTCTGAACGTCTTTTTATCCATTAGTACCATAAAGCCTTGTTTTGATTTTTATTATCAATAATTGTGTTATGCCTCATTTTCCTATTTTCTCTTCATTCAAAATGCCATATTCCGTAAGACGTCTTTATTTTGAGAAGTGAATTCTGCAGAAAAAGTAGCAGGTTAGGGTGATTTGCATGTCATGTATCTTCTTATCGACTGAAATAACATAGCTTTCGCTCCGCATGTATTATTCTGACATATATGAGGACAACTGTATAGTTACAGCGTATTCATCACCGAAGGAGAAGTTGACGATGAAGTGGGTTTATAAGGAGGAAAATCCATTCGAAAAACGACGAGCGGAAGGCGAAAAGATTAGACGCAAGTACCCTGACCGGATACCTGTAAGTTTACCGTCTTTTTTTTTGTTTGGTTTCTCTTCAGGGATATTAACTTCCTATACGTTTAATACTCTCTTGCAGAATTCTCCGTAGAGGATGATAATATGGCATGCTTGTGTTTCCTTGTGTCGCTTTACTCCGGTTTTACTGATCTACAGGTTATATTTTGAAAAAGGAAAAGGAATATCGAAGTTTCCTATATGCAATGCATGGCTTCATAATTTCGTAAATATAACACCGCCGTGTGTAGCTCATTTCGGATTTCCTGTGGCGGAAAGAAGTAAATGAGAAAAGTCATTCTTTGATGAACTGTTTATTTGATAGCTGACAGCATCAGGGATAATTTTCTAGGTTATTGTTGAGAAGGCACCGAAAGCGCGACTTCGCGATCTGGATAAGAAGAAGTACTTGGTACCATCTGACTTAACAGTTGGACAGTTTTATTTCCTTATTAGAAAAAGGTTGATGATACTATGTGTTTCGTTTTTCTATTTCTTCTCTTTAGTGGTTTGTTTGTAACCATTACTGTAGTTTAGAAAGAGGCTTAAAATAAAGGTAGGTGAATAGCGATGTAATCACGAAGTTCAGTTGAATTTTTAGTCCCAAGTGGTTTTTTCAAAGTATTTTTTTTTAAATAATTTTTGAGTTTTTAAGCATTCCATAAATAAGAGCAGTCAAAAGTTAGGAATTCTTCGCCTAAAACATTCACATGTGCTTCGCCAGGCTATTTTTAGGTGCGATATACTAATTTATTATTATTTACTTAACAAAATAGTGATATTGCTAAGGGGCGTGCAAAGGAATGTTTCTGTAATGTTTGATGAAAATAATCTGTTGATGATAGCTTTTGATTAGAAACACTCTTTTTAAGGATACATTTACGTCCAGAGGATGCGCTTTTCTTTTTCGTCAATAACTCTATTCCTCAAACAATGACAACGATGGGACAAATATATCAGGTAAAAACCACGTTGCGCTTACACATTGCCCTCTTCTTAATTGCTGTTCTGTTATATGAGAACTTCCCGATGTTTGTTTGGTTTTTGTGATTCCGGAAGAAAGGAACGCAGAGAAAAGGAAAGTAGGGTAAGAAAGGAAAAGGGACAGTGCCACCACCCTTCACTGCTGTTTCTGGCTTGGTTGTGAGTTCGATTTTTCTCTTGTTGGCCCTTCGGGGCAATGAAAATGATCGCCATTATTTGGATGGAAATTCAAGACATATTGAAATGCGGATGGTCACTGCAGATTATATATTTTTTCTAATATTGGCAGATCATTTCCGAAAAATTGTATTTATAGGAAAATCACGAAGAAGATCTTTTTCTATACATTGCATACAGCGACGAAAGTGTCTACGGTTCTTTATGAGTGAATGATGCGAGTAAAATTATTTGCTTTGCTTCGTTTTTGTACTTCCTTTTTTGACGAAAATGTTTTACCTTTAGTTTACATCCATTTTATTCTTCCGTTTCAATGTTGTATTTGTAGTAAACAATAAGACAACTAACAATACAAGTTTTTAAACGCATTATTTCTGAAGGTCTGTAAGGTGGGCCTTATAATAAGATTCGGGAGTACGAATTCTTATGGATTTAGTTTTCATAAATAATTAAATACGCATGACTAGGTCACACAAAGTGCAGACTTCTGCATCTTATGCCGTTTCGGGAAGCCATATTTTGTTGATAATTTTATTAATACGTAATTTTTTCCTGGATTCTGCTTTGTAAAACAGTAAACGGCATAAATGTTTGAAAGGTATAAGAATAAAGATGTACGCTTCGTATTAAAAAATTCAGTGTGTCCGTAATGTTTAATTCTGTTCCCATGTGTGTTATGCGTTTGTACATTGTTCAGAAGGATGATGCGTGAAGAAAAATGAGGTTATAAGCAATAGGCTGCCTTGTTGGTAGGGAATATGTGAAATGTTTCACGGTTTTTAATGACTTCAACTAGAACAGGAAAGTTAGTTTGGGGAACTATGCTCATAATTCTGAAAAATAAATTAATTTGCTTCCTTAATGAGGTTTCTACAGGGAGATAAAAAGTAGCGTTGAGACACTGTAAAATATATTTTTTCTTCGGTACTAGATTTTTTAATGTATTTATATTATTTTATGTTATATTATGCTACGTTACATCTCACTTTTCCCTTAATCCAAATCGCATTGTGTATACAATCTGTAGATGTAAAATTCGTCAGTAAAATGTTTCGAAATTTAGACTTTTCACAGTAGCTGAATGCATTGTGGCGAAACATGAATTTTCTTCTAGAAGATGGTTTGAGAGTTTTTGTACGCAAAAGTTTCAACATTAATGACTCAAAATGTAGTTTATCGAAGCGTAGTGCGGTTGACTCGCCTCTGATATTTCTGCAAAGATTTGGGACCAGGGGGTCGTATTTTCTATTGGTATATATTTTTTTACTAAACATTAGATGGGGAAATCTTGCTGTTGATTTTCAGATTTTCAGTGTGGATTTGTTTTGGCACATACTGGGTTGCTATCTTCTAATTTGCACACAAATGTTTGGTATGAAGGCTAGAGCTCAAGCCTTCAGAATAGTGAAGAGTTGCTGAATTGAATTGTGGCTACTTCATGGTATTTATGGATAATAAGCAAATCGCAGTAATCGTCAAGTACCATCTTCCCAAACCTAATTAGTAGTTAGAATGCGAGCTTCTCTCGAACCAAATGTTAACTGAATGTTTATCCGGCGAATATTAATGCCAGATCGTTCTACCTTCGGAGTGAACATAACCATTCTTTACGTTATGTTTCTCATGTAAAAAATTGTAAATATGTTGTTTGTGGAAGACGACAAATTTAAAGACTTTGGAGCAATTTACATGGAATTGGTGTCTTTTTTCGTTGTAAAAAAGTTGCTCTAACTGCTCAAGAAATTTCATTCTTTGTGCTGAACTCAGCCATTTCAAGTTTCCGCTGTGATTTTATCAGTATTACACTCTAAAATGTACTTTTGTTATCGCGGTTCATTTCCAGCGGCAAACAACAAATAAATTCTGTCATATTCTGCGCTTCCCTTTTTTTCTTTTTCGTCCTTCATATTTACAGGGTTTCCGAAAAACATATTAACGACATATTTTTGCGATAATAGTTTGCTTACCTATCAGATGAAGTGTTGGTGAAATATTTTCGAACGTCACCTTGACAATAAGTCTCTAAGGCGTTATTTATTACAGCGCTGCTTACGAAACCCACTTTTCTGCTTGTTGATTTGCGTTGTAGAAATATGCTAGGAGCTTGGTTTATGATTTTTTTGCATGCTATAACAGCATTTTCTACCTTTTAATATCATTGGATCGTTTATGTAATTTTTTGGATGATGGGTTCGTTAACTGATCAGTTAATTCGATTAACAACAATTCAGCAATAATTATTTTTTTTAAAGCATATAAAATAAGCGCACTCTGCTCCTTATTTCCCTGTTTACTCTATTGCAAGAAGTTTGTATGTTTCATTACCCTTTCTTTTCCCACAAAAGTGATATTTGGCCTTTGATTTTTGTCATCTCTATTACCTCGCAAGTACAAATTTCAAGCAAAAAATTCATATCTGAAATTAGTTGTACTTCCCATGTCCCGGCTAAGTATCATTCGGTAGAGGGAATATGTATTGACATGCTAAATCATTTACTGTAAACTCTTAGGGTTGCTCTGAAGTTTCTGTCGATACCCTCTTTAACTAGCAACCGAAATACAGCGTAACACCGAAAGAGCAACCCAGCGGAGATGCAATTTCTTCGACAAAGTCCAAACCAAAATAGAATCGTCGTTTAGGAGGTATATGTTGACTATCGCCAGTATTTTTTAGGTTGCATCACGAACAGAGGTAAAACTGAAACGAGGTTTCATGAAAATGTAGAAGAAACGGCAAATTTCGTCATCTTACTAATTTGGAATTTCGAAATGATCACCTAACTTTAATCATCATAAAAGTTTTCTTAATATTTTATTAATAGAACAATTTGATCACATTAAAAATATGCTGCTGGAAATGGGTGTTGCGAAGCATTGGAAAACTTTAGAAGTGAGGGATTTTATTTTATTTATCCTATTTATGTTTCATACTACCAGGAGCGGAACCAAAAGTTCTTGTCAAATCAGAAAGTTCTTTTACAAAACTCAGAAATGGCAGATTTATTTGCTAATATCGATTTAAAGAAAGCTGATGGTACTGTAAAGAAAGGAAGTGATGCGCTGGCCGTGAGTCTTCTATTAATTCACTTTAATTTTTCTGGGGACCCGCAAATGTGGATATTAAATTTCTGAAATAGGAAGATTGTGCCATCGAATTGTTGTTTTCCCACCTGCAAGAACCTTTTTTTCTTAAATTGCGCCGCACAAATTCATTCTCAGAATATCGCATTTTAGAACAAAAAAGTTGTGGCATTGTATTTCTCAGCGCATTGGTGCCCACAGTGTCGACAGTTTACGCCGATCTTAAAAGTAATTTCCAATTATCCGAATTTTTAAAGTTATGGTAGACTGGTACAAAATTGACGAGGCCTTAGAGATCATGTATTCAAATTATTATAAATAGACTCAAGCATGTACTCTCAAAACATGTTTTTCCTTGACTAGTTGAAGCAAGAATTGTTGAAATTTTTAAAAGTCGTGTTTCTTTTTGTGAAAATTTCTTGGAAACTAATTTAACATTTTTTTAATAAAAAACAAAAAACAAAAACAAAAACAACGAACTCATCACATTTCAAACAAGAATCATACGTGGGTCTGAATAAAGAATGTTTGTTCATTCCCGAACTGTAAAAATCTTCACTTCGGATTCATTGGTTTTTGGAAAGCATTTTGTGCATTCCATTAATTGCGAAAACGCTTTCCCTATGGAAAGTACTTTGCCTATGGGACACTCAAAGTTTCGAAACCACTCAATGGTTTCGGAGATCAAATAAATGGTGAGATAAAACTATGCGATCGAATTCGTTCTGCATATGAAACTGCACTAAAATGAAATATAATTTCATAACTTTTATTTAAGGAAGCGTTCTAAAATGAAACAGTGCAGTTTAATAATCACTGCTACTTTCATATCAGCCTGAGACGTTATAAAAACTGCAATTATTATATGAGGAGTGAATTAAGCAATTCTTGGAGAAATCAAATCGAAAGTTTCGATTTGCTTCCTCAATTGAATTTTCAAGTTTAATTTTATATGTCGAGGTACGGGTTTAATTACCTCTTTGACATATTCAGGAATTTTATGAAGAAGTAAACGACGATGAATTTGAAATAGTATTTGTCTCACTGGATCATTCGGAGGAGGATTTGAATAACTATCTAAAAGAATCACATGGCGACTGGTATCACGTTCCGTTCGGTTCCAGTGAAATCGAGTTTGTT